AATAAAAGGATATTGTAAATATTGTAAATTGTCTGACTGTCTCCATGGACAGGTTGGCAGTTGCCATGGAGAACCATGGCTGCCAGTCTAAGGGTCTGTAGGAGAGGTGTACAGATCTACACTCCATTGTTCCTCAATACCAACGGCAAGGAGACAGGAGGCACTGGGGACGTTGCCTGCCCTCACAATTAGACAGGACACTGATAGTGGGCACTCAACCAGAGGAAGACCCTGACATGCTGAGCAGATGTCTCCTCTCAGAAGACCGGCTTGGCCTTTCCACCACCAACCTACCTGTGACCCTCACACCTATTGGGGCTCAAGCTGAAGAGGGCAAGGAAAGACTCATAATTTCTGAGCTCTTTAAACAAAACCTACCTCGGGTCAACTGATAAAACCTCCAAAGGCTTCTCTCAGCTTAAATACAATATTCCATTCCACCCACCACTCCCCACCCTGATTAAATATACAGTTTCTAAGCAACTAAAAAACAATTTTCTAATCTAAAACAGTTTACCTGTGTACAAAGTTGGTTGGTTGTGCTATTTTGACACCAGCACTGAGGTATGTATACAGGATGTCATTACACCTTACTTGTTCTATGTGCCATCCAGTGGTTGGAGGCTGTGACTGGAAGTTTGCTTCTTTTAAAGTGACAGTTCTGATGTCATTAAAACTTAATGAAAGAGGCTACAACAGTGAAAAGGAAAGCGATGAAATAAGAAATCAAACAAAATAAAGACTCACATCATAATATTGTTAATGAGGGGGTTCCAGGACTTTCACACAGCAACACTGATGAAATGGTGATATATTTCCAAGTCAGGATGGTGAGCACCTCGGAGAGGAACTTGTATGTTTTAGTGTTTCTATGTATCTGTTGCTTTTGTCCTTCTAGACGGCAGTGGTTGTGAGTTTGAAAGGTAATGCCTAAACAGCTTTGGTGAAATTTTGTACTACATCTTGCAGATAGTACACACAACTGCTACTGAGTATCAGTGGTAGAGGGAACTTTTAGGTGTGGTGTCAATCAGGTGTTTTGTCTTGGATGGCGTCAAGCTTCTCGAGTATTGTCAGAGCTACATTCATGCAGTAAATGGCAGGTGTTCAATCACACTCCTGACCCTGTTCATTGTAGATGATGGGTAGGATATGGGGAGTCAGGGTGTGATTTACTTGCTGCAGGATTCTAGCCTCTGACCTGCTCTTGTAGCCATAGTATTTAAGTGGCTAGTCCAGTTCAGTTTCTGGTCCATGGTAACTCCCAGGATCTGGTAGGGGGGGCTTCAGCAATGATAACACTGTTGACTGTCAAGGGGTAATGTCTGAATCTGGTCATTACCTGGCACTTGTGTGAAATGAATGTTACTTACCACTTTTCAGCCCAAACCTGGATCTGGAGTCGATGATGTTGAGTTGGGCATGAACTGCTTCAGTATCTGAGGAATCTCCAATGATGCTGAACATTGTCAATCATCCATGACCTTCCCCATTTCTGGCCTTAAGATGGAGGGCAGGTCATTCTTGAGGCAGTTGAAAATAACCGAGCCTCCGACATTACCCTGAAGAATTTCCTGCAGAAACATCTTGAAGCTGAAATAACTGACCTCCAACAACCATGTCAATCTTCTTTTGTAATAGATATGACTCCAACCACCTGAGAGTTTTTCCCTGATCCCCATTGACTCTAGTTTTTCTTGGGTTTCTTCATGCCACACTCAGTCAAATGCAGCTTTAATGTCTTATAACTGTTACTGTTGACAGTGTCTGCAATGGCCAATTTTCTGTGTCAAGTTTCAAATTTTTCATCATAATTCTTGGATAAGCCATATTTATAATTGAGTTTTTTTTGTTTTTGAGGTTGGAGTTTGAAAGATCTTTGTTCAGACAGCTTGCTGCCTTTGATACTTTCCCACATTTTGAATCCCTGTTAAGTGTTGTTGAACCATGTTGTGTTTTTCATAGCATCTGTTTGTCAGGGTTTGGACATTTTAATAATAACAGGCACATAGGCTTGAATTTCACATCTGGTTTGGATGAGCAGAGATGCGATATTTCCTGGTTTCTCAAATGTGACCCAGAAAATACTTGCTCAGAAGTGCAATTCTTGAACCCTTTGCCAGCTACACACAATTCCCCGTCCCTCATCTACACTAATCCATACCATCTTATATTGCACCCAGATTTATAGCATGTTTTACCATCATTTCAAACTATGATCCCGATATGCCCATGACCCTTTATAATGCCTATGCCACTCTGTGTCCCCTACCCATCCCACATAGTTTCTCATGCCCCAACCCATCCTATGTCCTCAATTATCCCATGGTCTTTTATAATGGATATGCCATGATAATCTTCCAACTCATTCTGCATAGTCCCTCATACATCCAGGTTGTCTGATAACCCTACTCATCATCATAGTTCTTCATAGTCTCAATGCCAACTTAGTGCCAACTGGTGCCAACCCATGGCCCCATCTATCATTGTTTGCGCTTCCCCTTCCATGCCAATACACGTGCTATCCACCATGGGTTGATCTTAGGAGCTATGCTGACATAAAGTAAAGCTAAATGCTTATTGATAATGTCATTATTACGATAAAAATCTCTCGCTGATAAAAAATACATTTCAAAGCATTTGAATTCTTTCAACTAGTATCTTATGATAAATTATTCTATTAGTGCTCGGATGCTGTCAATAAAATTGATAATTAACAGGCACTGTGAAACTGATAGTTCAGGAAGTCAATCATGTAGTACAATCTTATAATTATAGACTTTAGGCTTGTGTGAACAGGTACTTTGAAATACTTAGCATGGACCATTTTTAAGTCCACAATACTTTCTTTAAATTTTAAGTGCAATCAAGTTAAATCTCTTGGCAGTTCTGACAGTTCTTTTACAACATTGACAGTTCTTTGACTGCTTGGCAATTTCAATGCATTTATGCACTTTCCTAGCATGTTTACCTTTACTGATCCAAAAGGAAACCTAATCTCTTTCAAAAGGGTACATTGGCTCTCCCATTGGGAACCTTCGTCTCTCAAAAGGGTGGCTTAGCTCCACTGAAGAGCAGCTTATCACACACCCTCACTAAGGTGAATTGGGACTATTCTCCAAAAGGGTAGCTGAATTATCCAGGAGAATGTCTAGATTTGCTCTGATCTTTTCTGTTTTGTGCACATCAAGTTTCATACTGTAGTTATGGCAAATCTGATTTGTTTCAAGGCAGCTAATCATTTAAATAGTTATGTGGCTCTGTGAGACATACATGTGTTATTCCAGCCCACCCCTGGCTCTGTGCAGGACTGGGACTTAGGGTTTGCAGGTTGACCTGCTTTTTATGCTGTGACTCAACCTTCCTTGATCCTACTTAAATCCCAACAGAAAGTTTCTGCCAACCATAACTCGGGTACACCCTCTTCAACATTCTGCCGCCATTATGTCAATTCTCTTCCTTTCCTCTGTGCCTTTCTCAGCTTCTTTAAATTCTGCTGGATGTCCTGTACTCTCTTACTGTCTCTGTTGCCTCCTGTGGTACTCTGTGATGTCCTCACCATCCTGCAGCAGGGCACTAGTCCTTCTCAGGAAGGAGTTGGGTTGCGACTGGGAACTGCGTGGCAGGAGCTGAATGCAGGGGCCGTGTCCTGCACGGGCAGAATGTTGAAGAGGGTGTACCCGAGTTATGGTTGGAGCATCAGAGAGTGTGGTGCCGGTGAGGCAGAGACGGTGAGAGTGGAGCCGGTGAGGCAGAGGCGGTGAGAGTCGGGCCGGT